TATTATGAATGGACTTTGATGTGTGAAACAGAGTTCTTTTATGTAAGACTGTGATACCTTCTTTTCTGTTTATCTTTGAAACTGTGAGTATTGTGCATAGCCTTCTATTCTGTTAATTTAGTATGGGAATCTGCACGTCTTTTCAGGCGGTTGTCTGTTCATTCCATAAATTTTGGAAAGTAACAAGACGGTTCCTTTGCATAGTATACCTATGAAAACAAAGATTTGTTACGCGTAATTTTTATTATTTTAATAGACTGTTATCATTATTCTGTATGTTACCGCATGTTTAAAAAATTTGGAAAATAGCAGATGTTATCTGCAAAATGCTTTATGTCGTTTTTTATAGCTTTATGGGAAACCATGATTAGTTTCAAATTGAGACTCTGATAAGACTAATGCGGAAATATTTTATTAGTATGACAATAAAATGGAACCAGTTTCTCATGATAAGATCTCGAGAACTAAGAAAACCAATGCTTTGAACTAGACATGTTCAGTTAGAATGTAGCAGATGAATACATAAATGGACAAAGTTTATCTCCATTATTCAACTGTACATACACTGTTATATTTTTATTTGAAAATTTATTACTGACCAATGCAAATATTCAGAGGCTTGCTATTAAGAAAGTGAACTCAGTTTCAAAATTAAATTTAGAAGACAGCCCTTTTAGATATGACCTGTATGTGGATATACAAAAAGAAAACTTAATCCTCAGTACCCTGTATGCATGCCATGATTCCTCAGGCAGTGTGCTGTTTAGCTACCCCCCACCGCTGCCGCCCACAGAAAAACGCGGAACGGTAGTGGGGGAACTGACTTCGTCTGTAGCAACTGTGGTGGGAGGTGCCTATCAATAAAAGACTGAGATTTTCAGGCCCCACTATTGGTTAACCACTGCCCCTCAACTTGTACCAACGAATGCCATTTATGACTGCGGTTATGTGTTCAATGTAAACTTGATATTTCACATGAAATTTGTGTATAATTTAGACTGTTTAACAATTTTCACCAAAACTGTAGGGTAGTCTTCCTTCTGTAGAGCCACTTTGCTCAAATGAGGCCAAATTTTTCAGATCACAAATTGCAAGTATACCAATGTTGTCACCTGTTGTTTGTGTCGCTGATATAACTGCAAGTCTTTGAGTTACATTACAATGAAAGGAGGATAATTTTGACTGGCTTCTAAATTTGCCTTGGGTACTCTATAAATGCTCTTTGACCAACCAAAATCGAACTTAAATGGAGAGCTGTGCCTTTTTAAGATATACGAAATGCCTATTAGTTTTTGCGCTGGGAATTTATCTGATTTGAAATCGGAATTAAATTCTGCAAGCTATAAAAAAACTGTCAATCCTTCATAATTTGTTATTTTTATATAAAAGTTTGTATAAAAAGTTTGTAGACGAGAGGAATAAAGATTGCAGTGTTACAAGATTGAAATCGTGTTGTTCTGTGTTCTCCGACCTGCCTCATTCGACAAAAGTCGTAAATAATCCCACAAGGTTTTGGAGCCAACATTTCATTCCATGTCGAACACACTGCTGAGAGAGAAACGCGTTGCGGATGTGACACACTACCTCCCGCCATGGCGACGCGCCTCCAGGGCACCAGCTGGCGCAGCCCAGCGCAGCCGGCGGCCGAGCTCCAGCTCCGCTGGCGGAAGGAAACACAACTCAGTTCAATAATGCAGCCCTAGTTCCTGCCCTTCCCTCGCGCCTCTTCAACATTGAAGCTGACAGCTCAGAGCGTCCTTTTCCTGTGCCTCTCGCTGACCCGGGGGGCCACTTGCTCGGCGCATCGCGCGCGGCCGCGCGGCGGCGCAACCAGAGGTCAAAGGGATGAGCGCGTGCCGCTAGCAGCAGTACACATATCACGAAAAACCTTGGGCCTGCGGTTAGCCAAGTCAAGTCAGAACCTCCACACAGGGAGGTCCATACCAGAATGGCAGCCATGGTTTTATAAGGGAGGGGGGG